GGCAAGACGGCGTTTTAGAAAAAAAAACCCCACAGCGAGTCTCCCACACGAGAATATCCGTCGTAAATAAGGTCGGATGCGCCACGGGAATGAGCGCGCCAAAACTTCTTTCGGTCGTTCAAAAGAAACGGCGAGCGAGACGTCGACGCCGCCGGGAGCTTTTATCCCTTCGGGAAGAGAAAGAAGTTATTGAATCTGGAGGGCAGAACCGCGGCATTTACCATGATCCTTTATCAAAAAGGATCCGCGGAACGGCGTCATCTCGGGGTTCACTGAGGCTCAAGAGAGCGTAGGTGACAACGGTTTCGAAGGAAGATCATAGCCGCGGGACTTTGGAGATTACACGAAGATTCTTTTGACCGATTTCAAACACCCTCGTCACACACGGACGTGAATACTATGTTTTCTTCATGTATCAATCGAGGGATACTGAAGAATAACGACGTGGCAAATTATGGTGCCGTTGTTGCGCGACAATGCGGCCACACATTGATTTTAGGGAAGGTCGCTATATTCACGAAAGCAAGAAGTTGTCCACCTTACAGACCTGACTTGGTCCCAAGCGATTTGCTCTTGAAATTTGAATTAGATTTACGAGGCGAAAAAAAGTTCGAGACCTACAAAGAAGTCCGCTTTGGTCTGTTTTCGAAGGAAAGAATTCGGACTATTTTTAGACTACAAAACTGTCAATAAAAGGCTGTAACAAAGGCAATGAAAAAATACAAAGAGAAATTATATTAAAAACAATTTTTAAAAATTTTTATCTTCTTCTAGTAAATTAGATTAAAAACTCTTCGACTGGAAGTTTTGCATTTTACAATAGTATATCTGTGAAGATGGATCTGTGTATAGATGGAAAACCGTTAATACTGCCGGTGAACAAGCAATCCGTTCCGTTGCGACATTTCGGGTTCGATCAAATTTCGTTTTTTTTTTTTAAGCAGAAAAAGAATCTGCGAAGTTCGTGCGCGCGTTCAACAAACTTCTTTTTCTTTCTTTTGGACCCCACTGTGCGCTGGCAGCTGTGCTCTTCGCGAGCGTACCGAATTCCGAAATCGACCTGGCTGTTACGCTCGTTATGATGTTACTTTGGCTCATACACAGGGTGATCGGATCAATTCCGCGGCATGGGCGTCAACGTTGGCATCGTCGAAGAAATCCCTTCCCTCGAACGTCGCCGAGGGACGTCGGATCTGATTTTCCACGTACACATTCAATATTCACATACGCATGACGCATTCATATTTTATTCATAATACCGTATATGTATATGAATAAAAATTATTAGACAAGAAAACAGCAAAAATTATTTATAATTTATGCAGAGAGAAACTTGATGTTTTTCACGGTAAGCCGCGCCACTGACGTTATATTTAATTCCTTCTCCTCGCCAAGGGTGAAAAAACCCTTCTTATTCCCCCTTGTGCACGCATGAGCGACTGAATTCGCATCTCATGCAAGAATGGGTCAAGTAAACGACATTTTATTTCGTACGCTCGGATGATCGGCTCCGAAATGTTTGCTCTCTCACGAAAGTGCACTCGTGTAAGAGGATGCTTTTTAAGGGCTGTCGGACGCGAATTATCTCAGACGGAGAAGACGAAATCGAAATCGAGCGTTCTCTACACGTGTATGTTGTATATACATATACAAAGCATTCCAACAAATATATTTATTATAAAAAGTATTTCAAGAAATTGAATTTATTACTTAATATTTAATATATTAATAATATTAATTTACTTTACAAAATATATATTTTATTATTAATTACAATTCACAGAATACGAAGATTAGGGGAAGCAGAATCTCAATTACCTTTTTATGATTACTCGAAACAGTGTTGCCTTGACGAAATTCTATTTGTGAATATTTCAGGACTTTTCTAGGAAAGTTTTCAGCAAAGCTTCAACATTGTGAAAAGTTCACGGACCGTTTTTGGTCTTTTTTTCTTTTTGCAAACCGGTCTTTTTCCCCGGGCTTGTTAATGCGAAAGAACTCATTTCGCAGTAAGACACGGCCGAGTTACATGATGTAATATCATTTGTCCCGACCTTAAGACCTTCAACATAAAGGGTCGGCTAATCGCGTTAGACAATATCTCGGACTATTAAAAGCATTACGCTGCTTTCCGCAGCCATTTGTAGTCAGTTAACTCGCAATTAAGTGCAAACTCGACTCTGGATTCGCGGATTAATAAATCACGCGTCCGCCATTGCTCTCGCCAAGAATAATCGACGTGATTTGTTTATGTCGGACACAACGGCGCGATTCTGCACGGGCATTCAGTTATACGGGAGTCCGCCTCGTTAATATGACATTAGGAAAAAAAAATCTTCGTGAAACTCGCTGCTAGATAAATATCGACGGCGATTTTTTTAAGGATTAAAAGGGAAAATTCTCCAGCGCGAGAGATTAAGTTTTAGCCATCAGAAAGAAATTGCGACATTCCTAATCTTATCTCTCTCTTTTTCCCAATTAAGAGATCCAGAGATCGGGCGGAGGAAATTATGACATTCCTAATCTTATCTTTCATTCCGTCGTTCAGAAAAAGAAAGCAAATCCATGAATTACCAAAAGCAACCGAACATGCGAAGCTGCAATTTACATTTCTCCCCTCCTCCGCCTCCTCTCCCGAGGGACAATCTCGATTGTCTGTTGTTGAAACAGATTTGTAATAATACGAAAGGGATAGCTGGCATGCACGGTATAAATGAACGCGGATTAAGTCTCGCGTGCAACGGTGCTTCACTGTCAAGATAACAAGCATTAGTTGGTTTAATTATAACGCCGCTAAATGAAGTTCTCCGCCTTAACGAGCTTTCGTTCCGTTGCACTTGTATAGTTTCACATTACTGCTCGTGACTGCGTATTATGAAAGCTCGACACATGCTATACATAACTGATATCTCAGCTAATTTCTCATGTGTGGAATTCTCGAAGGTATATCGCTGCTCGGGGGGAAAGTTCTCGATAGCTTGAGAAATTCACTTAAGAGTTCTCTCGCCAGAAATTTTGATTAGCTTTTTTTTCCCCTCCCGAGGGAATAATTGTCCTTTATATAATCTATATAATATTTTTTTTATCGCACGGTTACATAAATTACATAAATAGCTTGGATATAACTGACGTTTTCAATTTATTACTCGTGATATGAAAATATCACAGGTTCTCTTTTTTTCCGCTTTATAGAGTATATTTACAGTAATGTCAATTTAAATAAAACGCTCGAGTTTATTGTCGCGTGAATCACACCACCGCCATACGTTGTGTCAATTTTTTCTATCTTATCACGGCATTGCCACACGCTCGCGTGTTCGAATCTTATTAACTGTACGTGCTACCGAGAAGTTTATTAACAGAATTTATAGTAGGATTGTTTATACTAGACAGCGCGGCATATTGATGTGTGCCTGGATGGCATATAGTTTGACATTTTCATGTTGTTCCACACACAGGCGTTAACCGCCTGCATACAGAATAGCCCTGCGAACTTATGTTCCTTACAATTCCACGAATAGACATTCGTTAGGGAAAATAAATAAAAATTGTCATAACAAATTAATTAATTTATTATCCGCAGTTTTTATTACACTTACTGCAATGTGGAGAAAATTTTTAAAAGTATCATCAATTGTAATAGAAAGGATACAACTGATTTATGGGGCAACTTTCTTCTGCAGCGTCATAAATAATATTAATATTATATTGCGGAACAGTATAAACACATTGGAAATACCAACTTATTAAGACTCCACGTTGTTTATCTTAGACTTCAGGACGAATTTTGATTTTAATCTATCCAACTGGGAGTGGGTATTTTGCATACCAAAAGGTATTCTGGTTTCCGCTCTCGATGAAAATTGATGACTACCCGCTCCCTCGAGAGACTGTACTCGCAACAATGTAGAAAATAGCGTACGCTTCCCAGAAGAAGTCTTCAATTATGCCTCCTGACGCTAATGTGCGCCCGTGCAAGTTGTACAGTTATCCGATACTTAATTATCCAAAGTAATAAATCGATTTCCGCAACGTTGTCCCGCGCCGTTCGTAACAGTTCGAAACAGTGCGAGGCAGTTTGCGTTTAACCGTCTGACAACTTTTAACGTCTCCAATGAATTACGTAATTACGCATAACGAGAATTGAATCTGATGTAACGAGTTTAATTTCCTGCGCTGGAAGATTTGATGTGCAATCTGAAAATAGGTAAAGATGCTCATTTACGATGCTCATTTATTAAAAAAAAAATCCATACGAAAATCAAACATTTAAATCAATGTTTTATTATTAAATCTTTTCTATTTACATATTGTGACGCCGCCTAAATTAACGTTTAGGCGTTAAACTCATAAGTTTCGAGTGTTTCGACTGAACGTCGTATGGCACCGTTTTTGGCAAACATAAAAACAATTTCTATTTTTTTCCCTTTCGTTAATTTAGACGGCATCACGGTATGTAAATCAAGAAGAATTAATAATAAAACATTGATTTAAATGTCTGATTCTTGTACGGATTTTTTTTATGTAAATGAGTATCTTTACTTATTTTCAGATCACTTATTATATTAAGTGATCTTGAGTTTAATTCCAAGAATTCTAGGGAAAATTTTTAATTATTAATAAAGATTAGTTTTTAATTAATCATAGAACTGTTGGTAAATTATTTATTAAAACAGAAAGCAGTTATGTTAGTTTTCGAAAGAAATTTTTTTTTATTTTTTCTTCTGTCGTTAGTTTAAGTACAACAATTTGAAAAATAGTTAATAAAACGTAATTGGCTTGACAGAGTGATATATTTCTAATATATTCTCTATATTCATATATGTATAAGTAATATGCTTATATATGGAAGGGCACAATAAAAATACTCCGTTACATACATATGTATATATAACTGTACATATATAAATATATGTACACTTATATTTTTTTTGTAAACTCATTACGTTTATTAAATATTTTCATAACAATTGTTTTAAACTATTCCGTAATTGTTTCAGAAAAGTTATTAACCTGGAGATCATTGAAGAGGATTCCTACGAGAAGGATGCCCTTTTGTACGTCGAGTTGGGCGAGCCGTTGCTGCAAGGAGGTAATTAAGTTTTTCAATTCGAGATTTCCCGACATACATACTTTAAAGTCGTTAAGATACCTTTCTTTTTTCGTTTATACAGGATCAGGCATTTAAATCCAGGTACACGGGACAAAAAGTTCCCGAGGAGAAGTTAAAAATTTACAGTCGCTGAAGTAAACGTGATAAAAAAATAATTATACAGATAAATTATTTTAACGCATTATCACGGATATTCCAGAGTTGCTTTTTTTTTAAAATAAATTTCGTAATAAGAAAAATATATTAGAGAACGTAAATTTTGCGGAAGAAGATCTGAGTACACAGATTTAAATGCCTTACTTTATATCTTACTTTATTATATCTATACAGCGAAAAAAGAAGCAAAATCTCGATTCAAACCTTTCGGCATTTGATTTCGATAGCGCCGTCACTTGCTTACGTTGTTCTTTTCATTCGATCCAATGCAATTTTTGCTGATACCTACAAAGTTCAGCGGAACACACCTTTCAGCCTTCTTGACGAGGATAAATGTGATGGGAAAACTTTTGAATCTAACGAAAACGCGCACCACGAAAACTTATTTATTTCTCGGCGATCCTGTTTGATCGCGATAAAAATGTAAGTTTTAACATTTCAATGTAGACATATCAAGTTTGAAATGGCTTTGATAACGAGAGCTTCGATATTTATAAGGAGAGCTGTTGATATGTATGGACAGCAATACGAAGATCGCATTGATATTTGCGTTACACTCTTTTATTTATCTATAAGTCTTATAGATAAATATAGTCTTGCTAATTAAAGCTGCAGTAAATCAAAAGATGCTTAGATAGTTTTGAATGCTTGGATAGTTTTATCTAAGTCAATGTAATATTTGGAACATCGAATTCAGTGTAATATTTAAAAAGGAAGAGAACGGAGAAAAAAAGGTAAAACTCTCGGTGTCGATCGATAAAAGCACGAGCGTGACGATTGGCGACGCTATTAAGATTGGACCGCAATTAATTATGTGATTAAGTCGATACCTATTTCACGATAAGAACGCCGACGATTTGTTCTTGATGAAAATTGATTTCCACGTGTCTCTACATGCATGTACGCGCTGGTTCTCTGCCTGGATCCGTCATAATTGAACGTAAGTCTTGAATAAACGGACACTTTGCGCTTGTCCGAATTCTTCCTTGCGCATCAATTAGTCCCGCGCCGATTGATTTTTAATTAATTGTCAGTAGTGTACGTACACATTTTAATACAGACGGAGCTTTTCATTCACCGCGAATTATCATTTCGTGATACTTTCAGGAATTTGACAGCAAAATCAGAAAGGAACAAACATTTTTTTTATAATTGTCATTATATGTATATATATATATATATATGTATTAATGTTATAAATGTGCCTGAACCGTATTAATGTTACGATTTTGTGTGTACATTGTTTTTATCGTTTGCAATTTTAAGTTTAAATTTGGATATAATATTTAAAAGTGGTACATTTGAATTTATAAATTTTCCAAAAATCTTCTTTTTTATATTCAATTATTTTACTACATTTATGCACATTTTAAGAAAGAAAATTTATTTTTTTTATTAATAATATGAAGATAATCTTTTTCTTCTTAATCCGAATACGAAAAATCGCGCTTTATTTATTTAGTTATTTATCTTACATGAAACTTGAAACACAAGCTTAAGGCAGTCAGGTAACATCCGCTGTAGTGCTTCCCCATAATTATTAATGGCTTTGCCATAACACAAGGCTTCGTTTATGATAATTAGTAGAATAGAACGTTATTGAAATAGTTATATGCTTGTTTCGCGCAGACTAAAAAAGAATGCGAAGACAGTGTCAATTGCCGATCGTCTTATTGTGTTCTCGTGATTTGGGCGATAAATTGACAAGAGTGTGTACAATAATTACCGCATACTTTTGCAATATTAACTGCACTAACAATTCCGCACTAGCCACCGTGATTATTTATAATCAAAATTCATATAAAGTCAAATTGTATATATACCATTTCATGTTAATTACGTCTTCTCTCAACTCTGCTTACAAATGTACATACGCAGAATGTGTTGCTCTTAACGTCACCGTCTAAAATATCTCTGTTATTTTTAAGGGAGGGTCTTTGAAGAAGAAGTTGCGCGGTGTAAAAGGATAAATATTATGTAGGGTATATTATAAGGCCACCGTATCTTGCTAAACGTCTTTCGCTGTTTGCTTTGACATAACATTAATAAAATAACATGACATTAATAAAAATATACAAGATATTATTTACAGAAATAATGGTGGCTTTGAAATTTAAAAAAGTATAATTGATATACTCAATATATCTTATTAGTTGTAATAATTATTCTTCTAAACAGTATAATTTCTTTCTGAAAAATATTTTCTCATATCAAAAAATAAAAATATTTGGGTGATCACGTCAACTGAATATCTGTACATGCCAATTATTCATTAGATTATATAAGACTCGGAACAGCTAATGATGATACTAAAGATAAAAAAACAACAAATATTTGTATCTCTAAAAGCAACAGATATATTTATGTATATTCTTTTAGACGTTTCATTCTATGCGTGTCTAAATTTAGGCGAGGATAGGGAGAAGGGAACATTAAAAACAAGTAAATAATATACTAAACTGTAAATAATAAATAAATAAATTGTCGGACGCTTAAATCTTCGCTAACAAAACATTAAACGTAATATCTCAGAGGCCCGAGTCTGCAGAGTTTATCCAAATATTTTGAGTAACGTCATGTGGAACATTTCGCTTTTTTATAAGCTTTTTTGTATCTCGATCGAATTTTTATTTTTAACTTGGTATATCGGCAGATTGCGCAAACAAAAAGCCTTTGATCTCGATGTCTTTTTCTCTTCTCGGCGAATAAAAGCCGTCGTCCGATTTTGTTTCGACGCTTCGCGTCCACGTGCAAGTTACGATTTGCATACTACAAGGCCGCGAGAACACGTGCAACGAGTGATGATGCTCATGCATATGCATCAACATATAGGATGCGCCGAAACCATAAAACGATTCTCTTAACTGCAACCCCTTCAGTCAATGCGAAAACAAATTATGTATCTGCGGGAGAAACGTTATGGGGAAAGTTATAATTACCATCACGCTTTCCGAATTTTTCATACTGTAACATCTTACTAGTAACAAAATCGAAATTTAATTAAAATAAATTCATAAATGGTAAATTAAAAAATATAATTCTATATAGTTTCTCTTCTGAAAAGTTCAAGTTTTAATTTTAACCATGTCATATACGAGTAATTTTTCAGATTTTTTTTTCTGTTGAGGAAATATCATATCAAGAGACACGACAGTGTGTTTTGCGCCAAGTGCACGCATGAGCGACGCACGAGCGACGGGACCGTGCTTACTTCCGCGATCCATCTCGTTGAGCGGTGGCTCCAATAACACGGGCAATATTTAAACTTTGAAGATTTATAACTCAGGAAGTTCTTAACGAAAAAGCTTACATCTATCATTCCGAAAATGCCTCAACAATATGGCAACTAAAATAAAAATAGAGGTTGCCATTAAAAAATCTAAAGTAAACTTGACATGATCTTTGCAAGATCATCTCAAAATCTCATTGGTTTTTTGTAATAATAATAATAATAACAATAATGATGATGATTATAACGATGACGTTAACAACATCAATGATAATAACAATAATAATAATGGTACTAATAATAATATAAAGCATGATGTGTAATGATGATGATGATGATGATAACAAAGATAATGATAATGATAGAATAATAATAATATTAATAATAATAATAGTATCAACAATATCTGAAATAATATGTTCCTTTGGAGATGATCAGGATAGCGTGATACGTATTTACACGCGTGTACAGAGATTTAAAATACGTAATTCTGAAGAGAGATAATACTATACCAACATACAAGTTGGGAATGTGGAGCAAAATATTTTCATACGCTCCATCTCAAAAAATATCTTTAGCGATTAAAAAATTAATGAAATATTCATGAGCTTTGAAGTTAATTATTTGATGGATGTGAGACGTGTTTGCTTCGACAAAATGATTATTTACAATGGCACCATTTGCTTAAAATCACGTTGACTACATTCCGAATTGCACAGACGGCAGCTCCAATTGCATACCGAGAGACGGTCTACAAGCGTTATTACGCATAAGTAATAATTTGAGATACGGATGCACGTTTGCATTGCGAGCAAGGTGCATTGCGAACAAGGTGCATTGCACACATAATTTTACTGCATATTACATGCACACATTCGTGTACGCTATTACATATAGAATAATCACATTAATAGTACTTATGTACGTATGCACATATCGTTAATAACACACAGTCGCGCGTGTAGCGCAGTTGTGAGAATTAAAATTACCTCGAGTATTTTGCCACGCATTATTCTGGCTCAATTTACGTAAGGAAAGTTGCGAACCTCTCTGGAATCGTATGTAAATAGTATGCTTAATCAATTGCTGCTACAGATAGATTTGCAATTTTCCATGCAAAGTGGTGGTTTACCCCGGGGAGGGTTTGCATAGCGAGGGCTCGTCTTGCATTCGCCCGTTGTCTTCAATGCGAAACGAGGTCTCTAATTGTACGGTACCACGGGGGATTTTCAACTTTCCGCGCCAGGCGAATCCAGATGTCAGGTCCACCTGCTTTCCATTGCATACACACACAAGATTTAGCACTTACATAAATCCTTTCTAATACAACATGTCTATAACGTACTACATTAGCGTATAATTAAAATATACAACATGAATCCCCGTATTCAGAACGTGCTAACAACGGGCGCGTTCTGAATAACTATAATATATTAATATACTGAATACTATAATATATTCTAACATATACTATAATTTACGTTATGTATATTATAGAATTTTAGAAAGATATAAGTACGTATTTATCGATAAAAGCGCGTTCTGAATACGGATCCATATATCTATAACGTACTACATTAGCGTATAATTAAAG